ATACAAAGGCAAGCGGGGCGTCGTGGTGCTCGACCAGTCCCAGAAGCCACCGCTGCTTTACTTCACGACGGACCAGACCGTGCAGTTGGATAAGCCTAGTCTGGAACATCGACCGAAAGGCACAGTGCTGTTCACGATGCCTGTGACGGATATTCTGGAGATGAGGAAGATTGGTGGACTCGGGTGGAAGGGGAAGTTGGTCACGGGCTGGGCTGTGGGTGAGAGCAAGGAGGTGGTGGATGGAATGGTGCTTACGGGGAGGTTGCCGGAGCAGAAGTATCAGCTTACGGCTATGAAGACTCGCAACCAGTTGTTTAATCGGCTGGTTGCTATTGATGGACAGGTTTGGGAAAGTTATTGATCTTGGATTGGATGCTTGCTAAGGTGTTTTTTCAGGTTTGGAAATAGTGAGATCGAGCTGTGTTGAGGTGGTAAATGGTATGATTGTTAGGGATTTGTGCATATGGGGAGGTTGAAGCTATGATCATAATGGGAGTTATGTAGTTATATTTTTTGTACTGGTATCATTGTATCAAAATGGAATCCTACCTATATGTCTAATCATCCATGAAGAAAACATCGTGGGCAAAGTACAGAATGTGGAGCACTAGTGTTCATTGCTGTCCTATCTCCATTTGGTAATCTCTTACTGCTTGCTCAAACGAAGAATCCCGCTTGAAGCCCAAAGCAATAGCCTGAGAGTTATCGAAGCGAGTAGGCCAAGACTCCAAGATCGGCCTAAGGGTCGGATCCTCCTTCTCCGTTAACAGATCGAGCTTATCCTTCCCTGCGACCTTTTCCAAAGCATCCATCATATCCTGAATAGTGACACAAATACCAGGAACATTAATATGTCGAATATGAGGAGGCAACGCATCCTTGGGCAATGATAACGTATGAACAAGATTATGAACCAGAGTCTTGGGCGAGCATAACCATGACTTGAACGACCTATCCTCCAGCGGAATGACGCATTCCTTACCGTCGAGCGGCTCGCGGATCATCCCAGAAAGAAAAGACGAAGCAGCAGCTGTCGGACGACCAGGCCGGACAGAAATAGTGGGGAAGCGAAGAGTGAAGCCCGTGATGAAGCCACGACGGGTGTACTCATTGATGAGAGTCTCACAGATGATCTTCTCAGCGCCGTAGGACGACTGCGGCGTCGGGATGACACTGTCGTTCACTATTTCGGGGAGTGGCTGGCCGTAGACAGCCTGACTCGAGGAATAAATCACCCGTACGCCGGGACAGATTCTGCGGAGAGCCTCAAGCAGGTTCCGGGTGGCGTCTACGTTGACGCTCATGCCTAGATCGAAATTGGCTTCTGAGCCGGATGACATGATTCCGTGGAAGGCGTAGACGGCGTCGAGGGATTTGTCCACGACTGCGTCTGCGCCTTTCAGGAGGTCTGCTGTCACTGAATGTGCATTTTGAGGGTATGCGACGCCTGTGGGGATAGGGGGTTCGTTGATATCGGTTAGTGTGACGGTGTATGATGGGTCGTTGAGGAGTTCCTTTGCGAGGAGTTGGCCGATGAAGCCGGCTGCTCCGGTGATGAGAATTTGCATTTTGGAGGGTCAATTGAGGGGATTAGTGGTTGTGGAGGGAGGGAGGTGTGGGAATTGGTTGTTTGTTAAGGCACTATCAAGTAGACACTATCAGTAATATGCTCAGCCAGCTAAAGATCGTCATTGTGGGATCGCCTCGCATTAACTCCGAGGGTAGAATATAGCTTGTGCTCCGCAGCCGGACTTTTCCCGGCGCAAATTCCAGTCCATGACGTTTTTGCTCAGGAACTGTTCTGCTCTTCTCGGAGGATCTGCAGGTTCTTCTGGAATATGTCTGATTGTGCCCAGATAGGATTTATGTGAGTGGGTATTTTGATTGTTATCCCTGGATGTGTTTTGTGGTTGCGTGTTGCAAAAAGTTGGGCGCGGGGTAAGTCGTGAGTGGAGCTGGATAGAATTGGTTGGTGCATTCTGTGGAATACAAGATATCAGCATACTTGAACGATCAGACAATTGAGATCTCACTCGGTCTCCTCATCCTGCCATTGTGCGCAACAGGGACATCTGGGACTGAGACGGTCGGGGACAATTGAGCCGTGGATACCGACTGACGGTGCCCCGCATTCCCCAGATCCCGTGCCTGTTGCTGGTCTGGAGAGAAAACAATGAGACCTGAAGTAGTTTGCAGTTCGTCCAGTTGGATTTGCTGTATGTATGCAAATATTAGAGCGTGTAAATAGTATAGAGGATACCTATTTGTAGAATTGAGGGAATTAAATATTTTATGGATCGGGTTCGCAATGGCAATGGGGAAAAAATGCTCATGTCTTGGAACTCCCCAACGGCGCCAATTGAAGCGGGGTATGCCGCCATCGCCAGATTTGCCTGTCTCCATCCCACTCACTCTTCTCCCTCATCGTTGAAGTTTTCTTCCCTCGCATCTCTGCCTCCCTCTGGACCCTTCAGTGGATATTGGTTGTTCCGCCGCAACTAGTTTGAACAGACAAAGCAACACTATCTGGCTAGCTTGACATTAATCTATTGGACTTGGTCCGTCCCCACTATTGTCAATCCCATATTGGCTGCAGAATACCGGAGCATCCCCGATCAGTTCTTAGTCCATGATCGAGCAACCATGAAGCGCTCCTCGCAAGATGCCGACTTGGAGGCCCCACGGCCACATGAACGTCGACCCTCTCTCGTTCCTGACGGACGCCCTGCGCCACCCAAGATCTCCAAGGCCCGCGCTTGTGAGTACTCAAAAGGCCGAACTGCAACCGAGGCCCAAGCAATTAGCTTCAAGGTGTGCTTGGGCTTGATGAAACTAGAAGTATGAAGCTGATGCTTTGGATATATAGGCGCAGAGTGTAAGCGTCATAAAATACGCTGCGAGTTCAAATCAGGAGAGGCGAGTTGCACCAAATGCATTCGCAGCGGCATCAAATGTGTGGTCAATGATTTCTCCCAGAAGTTCGTCGACGATGATGTGATGTGAGTATCTTGCCATATTCGGGGCTTTCCTGCAGGAAATGCGGAATACAAAAGCTGATTCCGACTCTTCTGCGCTCGGTACAGGTGGAAATCACAAGCATCGGCTACAATACAACAACTTCAGGCGGCAGTCTCGCATCTTCTACAACAAGGAGGTCTGCCAGATCTATCGACTTTCATCTCTGGTGACAGCCAGAACGGCCCCAGCCCTGTCGGCTCTCATTCAGAGCGTCGCTTCTCATCCGAGGCATCACCCACTGATGTCAAACCCCGAGAGCCGGGTATTGTTATGGATGTGACCCGAGAACCTTCCCAAGAACCAGACCTACAGGACCGAGAGCTAGTACCAGCACCAATGCGCAGTTTATACGAGGTTACGAAGCTCCGCAATCTGCGGAACAACCCCATAGAACAGCCGAAGCTGACGCTTCTGGAGGAGGACTTCATCTCCAGAGGGCTGATCTCGCTTCATGAAGCTGAAGAGCTGTTTGCCTACTTTAGCAGGACTATGAATCAGCTTCTCTGGGGAGGGATAGTCTTGGTACATCGTGATCTCACGTCTGTCCGACGAGCATCGACGTTACTGTCAGCAGCTGTTTTAACAGTTGCTGCCCTCCACATACCGAATCGAACCGAGACACTCAACCGTTGCTACAACGAGTATGTATCGCTTGTGTCGACTATGTCATTGACAAGGGCTCATACTCTTGATGACATTCGCGCTCTCTGCGTCGGAGCGTTCTGGTTATCCGAACTAAGTTGGAAACTTTCTGGGCATGCGGTCCGAATCGCAACGGAATTGGGTCTCCATCAAAGTTATCATAAGCTAATGCGTGGTCATAATGATCAGTATGAACGCGCTCAGCTCTGGTATCTTCTGTATGTGTGTGACCATCATTTTAGCATCGCCTACGGGCGTCCACCAGTCATCCATGAGGATGCAGCAATCAAGAACTACGAATCTTTTCTCCAATCACCAATGGTAGTACCCGGGGACATTCGGCTACTAGCACAAGTTGCCTTGTTTATGATCCTGACCGAAGCGTATCGGACATTCGGGACCGACACAGAGCAAGCCCTTACCGAAGAGGACTTTGGGCAGTTACGCGTCTACAATGTGGCTATAGACCAATGGCGGCTATTGTGGCAACCCCGATCTGGTACGTGCTTTTCAAGACCTGCTTGGTTTGAAATCATTTTGATAGACTAACGGTCGTGACTTTGAACTGCAGCCGATAGCCCCTATGTCCGAACATATCCCTCGAAAGGGGTTGTGCTTCACTATCACTTTGCCAAATTTCAACTCAACTCACTCTCTCTTCGAGCCTTGTCACCGACTAACACCCCGGTGTTTTCTATGGACCGCAAAGAGTCGGCTAATATTGCCATCTCGTCTGCCATGGCTTGTTTAAATATGGTATTGGAAGAGCCAGATATTCGCGACGCCATTGTTGGAGTTCCGATTTTCACCCATACGATGGTCACATTCTCCGCCGTATTCCTCTTGAAAGTTGCAATAAATTGGAACTCTGCGTATCTCAGTCTCGACGGCCGCCAGGTGCGACGTCTGGTCGAGAGGGTGATTGAGCTGTTGAACTGTGTCTCTGCAGGGGAGAGACATCTGACGAGACATATTGCCCGGGGCCTTGGTAAGATGTTGGAGCGCTTCGACTCTTGGGACGCATGGCAAGCAGGAGGGGCACCTGTTGTAGCATCTGGGGGTGTTGAGCGAGCAGGTAGTAGTGATGTTCCTGGGGGTGCCAATGCCATGGCCCAGGGGTTTCCCCCACCGGATTTGATCTATGATATGGTTGGTACATACGGGTTTGGGTTAGATGAAAACCTCCTAGATCCTAGCATGGCTAGTTTCGAATTTTTAGCACAATGAGCCATGCCCTGATATTATGGGCCGTAAGAGTCAGGCTATTGAGGTCACATTACATCGTAATCTGGATTACTTAATATAGATAGAGGGCTATAGGAGACCACCTTCCGGCCAAATCAAGGTGCTTCCACATCTGCCTCGTCGCCACTAGAGACATCATGAACAGTTGCAGAAAATGCTTGGCTACGCCCCCGACCCTGCCTCTGGGCTTTCTTGCCTGTCGTTTTAGTGAGAATATCTTTCACCTGCTCGAGGGAATACCCGAGCTCCGCTTCAATGGCTGCTCTATACTCCTTTTTCAGCTGCCTCTTCTGCCTCTCCTCCTCAAGAAGGCGCTGCTCTTCCGCCAACTTATAGTCTTCAATAGCAGCGCGCCGAATCTTGTTCTCGTGAATGAAACGTTCGCGTTCTTCGAATTTCCGTCGAATCTCTTCGTCGTGCAACTCTTTCCTAATCCGGGCCCGCAGTCCCTCCTCTTCTTTCTTCTTCTTCATCTCTTTCCATTCCTTTTCGCGTAACGCAGCTTTGATTTCTTCTTTCCTCTTGGATTGCTCCTCGGCTCGCCTTTCGGCTCTCTTCAGGTTTCTTCGTACCTCTTTCGTTTCATACTCATGCAGTCTCTTTAATCGCTCCGAAATCTCGTTTTCGACCTCTCGTTCACTCTCTATGTCCATTTTGAGTTTATGAAGACGCAAGTCTTCCTCCAGCCGGTCTATGTCTTTTTGCTGTCTGCGGATTTCACGGTCCAGCTGTGTGTCAAGTGTGTCAAGTGCGTGCAGTGCACGCTCGTTGACTACGGTAACCCCCGGACGTCGACGAGGTAATGATAGGTCGCGATGGATGGTGCGTGTTGCTCGGGGCCGTTGATGACGATATGGGAGATCAGAATCTGAATCCGTATGGGAGGACACCCTGACTTCTGGACGCGGCCTCTCATAAGACCGGCGCCTTCGAGCCGATCGTGGTTCTGGAGAAGGTTCATAAGGCGGGAAAGACGGAATGGCTCCTATAGCGGGGTTTTGTCGACTATCTTGGATAGGCTTTCTGTCCTTGGGTTGCCCCCTCCTCGACATGGGAATCGTTTCGACGACCCGGTCACTCGGAACAAAACTCATGTTGATGCGAGCTGTACGGCAGTTGTTCGTAACCTACAGAGTTGCTGTGTTGCTGGGAACTCGAGAGCAGAATACCCCCAGGCGGGCGATTTGGCGCCCAGCGCCGCACAGACAAGCAGCCCGACACTTGCACGGGTCTTTGCCTAGCCTTGCTGGAACTATTGCGGGCAGAGTGGCTGTACCGCAGAATTGGCCTATCCAGCCTCGCACAATTGTGCCAATCAGAGGTTACTCAGGTAGTTGGGAATGTCACGATAGTATCCTTAGCGCTGACATGCATGCCTGCATCGAATCAGACCTAGAAGGTAGATGATTAATAGCCTTGGTCCCCATTCACGCTTCTCTACATGCTCTACGGGCTTTTAAAAGTTGTCAAGTCACCGCCACCGCTTTTTGTCATCCGATGTTATACAGGCTTCGCAAAGTTCAACTGCTATATGCTATGTCCTTCTTGCTGCTCAACCCGATAACCGTGTGGACGTTGTTCTCATCCCAAAGAAATCCAGGAGAGCAGCCAGGATCTGGATAAAGGTTATCAATGACGGATAGCGCAATAAAAGCACCAGCACCTTTTCAGGGCCTTCTGTATTTTCACTCTCTTTGCCATTCCTTGGTCCGGCTGCTCCGTTCGCTTTCGCTGGAGCCACCAAACTGGAGTTTGCGTGCAGTACAATCCTGGATGCCTGTAATCCTTCTTGGTCAACAGCTTGTGGTGTTCGAAAAGTGTGCACAGCATGCCCAAGCTTCGAAATGCACGCGTCTACTGGATCACCTGCGTCGCAGGACTCCCCAACATCCACCAATGTTTCCGAGGAAGAAACCGAGTTGGAGCCGGATGACTGCGCTGTCTCGGTGTGGTGCCCGGAATCCCCTGGATTGGGCAAAAGGCCCGGTAGACTCCCGATACATGAGTCTTCAAGCATGCTCTGTGCAGTGTCGGGGGTGTTCTCATTACTCTCTGCGAACGATATCGGCAATGCGGCAGGGATCTGCACCGGAATGCGAAGGCAATTCTCTCTTTCCATAACCATGGGAAGATCCTGTACAAGACGATCTAGACGAGGGCCTGAAGGCTGCGTCACAACATTTGGATACACCAGAATATCACTGGATCCCTCGTCAATTTCCTGACGGGATGGGAATCTCAACTGACGGACCTTTTCTTTGAAGCGGTCCCTGCCCTTCTGTAGCTTTCCTTTAATCTGAACCCGCATGAAGAAGGGCCTCCCCTCATGCTGGAAAGCAAAGGCAGTGTGGATCATATTGCTATGAATTGATTGAAACTCAGGGTCCTCCTCGCGTAGCTCCCACTTTATGGTACGATATTCTGAACCGGTCTTTTGCGCAGGGCGCAGGTTACCTGTGAATGTCCAACGGCTATCATAAGTAATCGATTTCTCGCTATCGACACCGATACCACCGCCGCCGTTTCCGAGTACATTGACTTGAGGCGCAAGGTGCAATATCCTTTTCTTGACCACATTCTTTGGTTCTCCGCTGAGATATTTTGGCCCGTAGTGATCGGTCAGATGGAGGCGGACAGGCTTATTTGGATCTGGCTGGTGCTGGGGGGTGCCTTGCAAAGTGATTTTGACTGTGGCACTCAGTAGCCTACAGTCTGCGGGCTGGTCGAACGAGAGATCCATGTAAACAATGCCCGCAGGTCTCGATGCCTCGCCCAAGCATCCCCATTTCGACTGGGACGTACGAAGTCGGCAGTCAGCGCGTGCTTTGCCGACTTTGCGGTGGCACACGCTAGAATCCTGAAGATCGTCAAGCTCGAGATATTTTCGACCATATCGCCGCGCGTAAGTCGGCCGCGAATCCCGACCGGTGGTGGATGATGAAGTTTGGGTGGTCCCCGACATAATTTGGGTGATGAGAGCAAAATGCCAAATCCCCTACCCCCGCGACCGTCAACATCGATTAAATAGTAAGGGAGCTTACAGCCAGTTAGTAGCGGGTTGTTGGGTGCCGCCTGGCACTGCCACCGGACAAACCACTAAGAGGGAGGCGCTAATGCAGACACTCCAGACGAGGCTGAATTAGTAGCTCCTCAAATACGAACTGATATCTATTCCTCGTGGGCCTCCTGCAGATTTGCTGTTGCCGCGCTATTACTTCGTCAACAAGCACTCTTTCAAAATGAACGATATTCGGGAAAAGCCCTCCTTTGCTAGAGGAAGACGATCAGAAGATCGAAAAGACATCTTCAACCGTTCTTCCTGGGATGAACGAGCGGTTCATGGAAGTGCGCACGGTACCCTTGCTGTTCCCGACAGGAATGCTCATTTCTTCCGTGCGGAGCCCAATCACCCTGGAGAAGCAATTGTCGTTCGCAATGCCGCAGCTCATAACTACGATAATGGCGTTCCTTCACCAGATACCTCCCCTAGGGTACTACCGGTAGTACAGGATGGACCACAAAATCCTACGTCTTCCATCTGGACTCCTTCATCAACAAAAGATACGACCATACATTATGAAATGGACATTGTTGAGGACGTAGGAATTCTATTAGAAGAGTTCTCACGACTAAAAAGACTAGGCCATTTCCAGGAGGCGGAACAATACTTCCAAGATTCTTTATGTGCTTTTATGGAATTATCGCCAGTTACGATTGAGTTCGCAGACATGCTAGTCGAACAAGGCTCCTACGAGCGTCTACATCGCGTTCTGTCGCAGCATCAACAGCAGGAGCTGAATATCTCTGACGGTATCTCAAGCCTCCAGGAGGGTAGCCCTGCCAAGTATCTGTACCAAGCGAACTTGCAACTCGTACAGGGTTTTGCGGCCATGCAGTCCCACGGATCTATGGACGAGGCATATGGAAAGGTCCGATCCTTGGAGCGCCAAATGCGTTTCCTAAGGCGACGAAGGAGGAACGACCCGACACTTGACCTGGACTCGGCTGAAGTAGGAGTGCTTCAAAGCAGTTTCTGTGAGAAGAAAATACTAAGAGTATAGGCAGGTGCAAGTTATCCGTTATGCTCTCTTGATTCTATCGCAAGTTGAGCGAGAAACCGATCTGATCCTAGAACATGAATTCGATTGCTGGTCTAATTGGCACTATTTGTACAGATCTCTGGTGACTGAGGGCCGAGTATGGGATGTGCGAGACCTAATGCTAGCTTCTATCCAAGCGGAAGGTGCAGCAAATGCTTGGAACTTGATATTCGGAACAGAACTTGGTTCTTTCAATGAGCCGTTCCGCAAGCTGATGGACGACTGGTGTTTGCATCGGTATGATGAGTCAACATATCTCGCCATTCTGGATATTCTAGTATCTCTGAGTCGCAGTTTGTCTTCATGGTCTATCTCGATACCAGAAAGACAGGACCTGCTCACTGCTCAACGATGCCTCCAATATGCGCAAGCCCTTGCAACATGCCTCAAAGAGAACAACCCGCAGCTGGTCAAATCTCGTCCATACCTTCAGTGGGTTATTGCTGAAGCGGAATTGGAGCGGAAGCTTCTACTCAATACCACAGATCTGCGAGGCCATCTTGACAAATTTCCAGGCCTGACAATATGGAGGGATTCTATTCCCATCTATCTCCCAATAAAGACGGAGAACCCAAAGTGGAAGGCACACCTAGACGGGGGACGGAACTATGATCTTCTTGTAACCGTTCTTCAGACAGCACAGGACCTGAATGACTACAGAACTGAGGTTTTATGCTTGGGTGAGCTAATCTATCGCTCGGTAAACACTAGCGAAAGGTTAACTCGGCTTTCCAGTCTCCAGAAGTCCATCCAGGGGGATGTTCTCGGCTATCAGCAGACTTTCCTGTCATGTTTTCTTCTTGCTCACACCACACAAGACTACAGGCGTCTTCTAGATGGCCTGAGAAATATTCGGGAATCGAAACGATCCCTGAAATTTGTCTATTCTCTGAGCGACTGGTGTGCAATCGTCATCGAACGGGCTATTGCACATTGTCTAGCTGAGGATACATCGCGTTCGGAAGAAGCTTTCCAAGACACTAACGAGGGATTCTCTACCTACCTCCCGCAGTACATAAAAGATCGGTTGGAGGGGCTCGGCCTGGATAAGGTCTACCTTGCGCCCCCAAGGACTGGAAAGCCTCACATTCCTGAAATACGACAACGCAGTAGGACAGATGTTCCTACACCAAATCAGGATACTCGACCCCACAATCCATTTGAGAGCTCGAGTGACGAAGAACATGGGCAATCCAAGTCACTATCACCTCTGCAACGACCAGAGCGCACGTACACAGGATCTGGGGAAAGCGATGGTGATGACGACGAGTATACCACCGACAGCAGCTTCGACACAGCTAAATCAGATGATGGTTGGATGGATGATGAGCAGGGCCATTCGACATCGCTCGTTCATAGGACTCAACAATTTAGACCAAGTGAGTAAATATTTTGAATTAGTTGTAGAATTATTACTAACCTTATCTAGTTTCCAGAAGTGCGACTGGTGAAGACGTCAGTAGTAGCATATATGAGGAATGAGTGTGGGACTCTGAGTTGTGGGATATCAGGCTTAAACTGGCAATTAGGTCACAACCTCTAAATAAATGATTTCCTCTTTTTGAAGGGTTCGACACAAAAGTCTCTGTTAAAGTGAGCCGGATTTGTAGACGAACGGAGTACACGTCCTCTATATCTCTACAATGACATTGACTGTGTCATCTACTCGATAGATCTCTGGGGATGCATAAACATATATAAATATACACAATCAGTGCAAGAACTTCCCCTTTTCACATGGGACAGGTAAACAGATCCAGGTAATAGATTGAGAGCACACCTCCATGTCTAGTACTGTTCAAAGCAAATGTTTGACTAGTTTGCAATGAATACAAACAGCTCCTCCTGATCACAGTCCACCAATAATCGCATGTGATTTCAGTTTGTCCTGTTTGCCAGTGACGTAGAGCGATGGTGTTGCAGCTCGTTCTACACCCCATTGAGCGCGATATTCATCCATCTGATGCATGTATATGTCCGATTGAGGAAAGATGAGGAGGAATGCAAACATTCAGTACCCAGTCCTACAAATTTCTTGGTCTACCATAGATGAAGTATAAAGCATAAAGCAGAGCATCCCGCTCTAGCCTTCATACCTCCAACTCATCTCACTTCTAATCCCATCCCAACACCACTACTCATTCCTACAGTATACAAAATGGCATCTCCCCAACCCACCACCACCCTCCCAATCGTAGCCATCGCCGGCGCAACCGGCCACTTAGGCAAACACGTCGCCTCAGCCTTCCTCACCTCGAACCTACGCAACCGCTTCTCGGAAATCATCCTCCTCTCGCGACAAAACAGCCATCATACACCACAACCACCACCAACCGACCTCCTCTCTGACAGCCCCAAACTCACCATCCGCACCTACACCGAAGATTCCATCCCCAGCATCACCCGCGCCCTCCACGGCGCTACCGTCCTCATCAACACCATCGGCCCCTCCGGCCACTCCTTCAAAGAGAAACTCCTACACGCTATCCCCGAATCCTCCATCCAGGTGTACTTCCCCTCCGAATTCGGGGTGAATCACTACGTGCACGACTTCCCGCATCTAGAATGGGACGCGAAGAAGAAGCACATGGCGCTGGCGGAGCAGCTACTACTACTTACCCAAGGCCCAGGCCCGAAGAAGGTGAAGATCTGTCGTGTCTTCTGTGGGTTGTTCCTGGAGGATAGTATCGGGCCGTGGTTTGGGTTTGATACGAAGCGTGGTCGGTATGAGTGCGTTGGGAGTAGTAGTGAGGTGAAAGTGTCGTTTACTTCACTGGGGGATGTGGGGAGGTGTGTGGCTGCGTTGGCGAGTTTGGGGAGGGATGAGGTGCCTGAGGTGGTGCATGTTGCTGGGGATAGTAGGAGTGTTGGGGAGATTGCGGAGGTTATGGGGGAGTTTGGTGGTGGTGAGATTGAGGTGGTGGAGGTTGGGTTGGAGGGGTATAAGAGGGAGGTGTTGGAGGGGATGAAGGAGTCGTGGGATCCGGCGCCGTATTTGAGGTTTTTGATGGGGGAAGGGAAGATTATGCATACTGCTAGGGATGGTGGTGGTGGGTTGGGGGATGATCGTGAGTTGGTTAACCCGGGGGAGAGGTTGTGGAAGTGGGAGACGCTGAGGGATTTGGCGAGGAGGGAGGCGGGGAGGCCTTGGGGGGATTATGAGTGGCCGCCGGTGAAATAGAGGGTATAGTTGGGGTTTAGAGTGCTATTTATTTAGGCTGCTAATGTATGTCTGTTTTGCATATGATGTTGCAGTACTAGTAGTTGCAGGAAGTGGTGACTGGGGGCTGGACATCGGGTAATTTGCATGTCGCATGTAAGATTGCAGGTTATGATGGAATGATGGATTGGAAGAAGCATCAGTGCCGCTGTGGGGGGAATCAATCAACCTTGGTCTGTGCTTTTCCAGAAGAACTTCCGCATTGCGTTTAGCCTGCTTGCATGAAGTACGGAGTAACTGGTAAGATTGCAGCATGTTTTGAAACAGATATTTATGTATGGGGGTATCGATACGCGCAGGATTTCAATCCTGACATCATGATTATTGCTGCTTCTGGTGTCCGGGCCGTACTTTTACTTCTTGCTTCCACGGCCACAGATGGTTTATGAGCACACTCCCTTAGGGTATCATTGTACCTGTCACAAACACCAGAAACATCCAAAAACATCCCCCTTTTGCCCCGGAGTTGTCTGTGCGCGTCTTTCCCCATCCTGCTGCTTGCTTGTGCTTGTATCTCGCCAGGCACGGTATTTCTCATGTAACCATCTACAATACTTACCATACCTTGTGCTCACTTCTCTTCTCTTCCTTTTCGGATCTTTGTCTTTCTCACCCATCCATCCGTTTCTCTCCATCTCGGCCTTTTTCTCCAGTGTGGATTCTCCGATCCATCCACACACACTCACTCTCTCTGTCTTGTCATGCAACACGGTCCGGATCATCACCAAGATAGCAAGAGTCATCGTCATGGATGGATCAACTCCGCCTCAGACCCAACGGATCATCCTCACCCGGGGCTGTTTCAATCCATGGTGAGCTGAGGGAAAACCGAGCATCATCAACGCGAAGTTGTGTGGGTGGTACACGCACCCGCCCCTCTTGTCCACCCTCGGGCGACTCTAAACCCCACGGCCTGTGGTGGCTTATGTCGACGGCCACCCGCGACAAGCAGTTTGGGGGGTGGGCAGCGTGCCGGCGCAACTCCAGCTCTCGTTTCTTCTTCTGTCTAGCTCCAACCCTCTTGACTGCCACTGCGCGCTTTTTCTTTGCGCCAGGCAGTGCCCATCCATGCTTGGGGAGGGAGGGTTACTGCTGACTCTCTCCGTCGCTGAAGTAATGCTCACCCATTCCGTCCCTCCCCCCCTTCCCTCATGTGCTGGGGGAAAGGCTGCTGTTGCTCTGCTGCTCGTCCACTACCGAGTTCCTCCTGCCTGCCTTGCCTTGCCCTGCCCTTTAATTCTCCCTCCTCCCTCCCTCCCTCTCTTTCCCTCTTCTCTCTCTCTCCCTCTCTCCCTCATCCTTCTCCCGTTTCTTCCCCTCTCCCTAGCCCGTTCACTCCCCTTTCGCTTTACTCTTACTGTCCCTGCATTGCGCCTTCCTGGCCTGGGACTCTCTTGACATCTGTATACTTGCGCCATTGACCTGGCTTACTCCTTTATTCCTTAATACACACTCTTAATCTCTCTCTATCCTTAAGCGCCTAACGCGCTCTGAACCATGTCCACCCGTAAGAGAAAGCAAGAGGCTGAGGAGGAGGAAGAGCTCCAAGCGCTCCCTAGCGACGAGAGCGAGGAAGAAGAAGAGTAAGTCGCTTACTGCATTGCCTGTTGCCAGGTTGTTCGCGAACCTGGCGCATTCTTTTCATTACCCTCTGCTGGTTCAGCTATCTGCTCTGCTGTCATTTCACTTTTGGGTGCACTCTCTGCGCGCATCACTCATTGGTGCTTATTGGTGGCATTCAGTCGCGTTATCCTCTGCTTGCCTGCACCAACCAGCTGAACCTCATTTACTTTTTACCTTGACATTTCATGTACACAATGGCTGATTTGGTACTACTCCAGATATGAGGACTCCGAAGTAGCCGAGAGCGAGGAAGGAGAAGAAGAGGGAAGCGAAGAAGAGGAGCTTGAAGAAGAAGAAGAAGAGGGCGAAGAGGAACCAGAGGAACAAGGTGAGCTCGCTCTTCTAGTCTCCAATCATGCTACGTATCTCTTACTAACGAGTATTCTCCTCCTAGCAGCTCCTCCGGCTTCCAAGAAGCGAAAGACAGCTCCGGCGCCCGAACAAGAGGAAGAAGAAGAAGAGGGCAAGGAAAATGGCGAAGCTGAAAACGGTGAAGACGAGAACGGCGTCGATGAGGAAGAGGAGGAAGCACCGGAAGGTGAAGAAGACGCTGAGGAAGCTCCTGAAGAGACAGCAAAGACCAGCGCCCCTGCCGCCGCTGCTAGCAAGGCCAAGGCTGGCGATGTACCTAAGGAAGCCGAGGCCGATGCTGCTGCAGAGGAGGAGTGAAAACCTTCCAGCATGGCGTAATAATGACCCGCCAGTACTGACTGCTGTCGCGCTGGCAATATTTTATTGATAATTCTATGATCATTTGCGCGGATATAGTATCTAATGCACATGCTCCTATATCCTGAAGATCAGGCGAAACCAATCTTATCGTCTTTAGTTCATATGTTGTAACTGTAACTGTAACTGTAACTACAATCTAAGCACTGGCAGTAGATGGGGGGTACGGAGGAGTCGGAACTATCTTTGGAGAAGCGCATGATGGGCTACTCCGCACGGCGGCTTAGCCGGGACTTCCAGCTAGATACTAATACTATTTATCCATCTGGACAGATAGCTACTAGGGCAACCGAATCAACCTATCAGACGGAGCACGGCCTCTTGTTCGCTGTTCAACCACATCCTCAATTTCAACTGGAATCTGGGTATTAATAGGAGAAAAATCAGGTATATCGAAAAACCACATCACAAAAGACAGAATAAAGTCAAGAATAAAAATGGAATTAAAATAAAATCACACGAAGGAAAAGGAAGTAAGTAGAAAGCGCATCACAATCGAACAATAGGTGATATCGATCAACAAGTCCATACAGAATGTAAGTAGTAAGTAAGTAGTAGTAGGAAAGAAAGTAAGTTCTCTTTTTCCTCAACGCTTTCATATCCCTTGAACTTCACCTCCCTCTCTAATAGATACAATTTCCTCTCTCGTTCGTCATTTCAACCGTCTGTCCTCTTCGCCTCTTTCCTGATTTCTTAGGTATCTTCTATATCATAAACCATAGGGAGGGGTAGGAAGAAGCAAAGGATGGAAGACAGGGTGATTATACACTACCTTCTTTGTAAGGTATGGTAGCGTAATCTATCCTAGGTTGAAGATTTAACCATCACTACCGCTGCTGCGGAATGTGGCGCACAGTTGGCAGTATTGATGGGTCAAATCGAGGACCGGTTGAGGAAGGTTCGTCGCTTGGACTATACTCCGGACTTTGACGGCACCTTCGTCTTCGATGAGTTTGCGGATCAGGAATAGGAGGTCGGGAGAGAACTACATTAGAGAAGAGTGTATTGTTAATTTCATCTTTATCGTTGAGAATAAGGGGAATGGGGCACATACCTCGGAGTACCAGCGATACTGCCAAGCGATAAGACGGATCAAGGCGCCTAGCATTCCTCTCGTGTCATTCTTCTTCTCGTACAACTTGAGGAGCCCCCGCATGGCTTTCGGGGAGAAGCGGATGGCTAGGCAGTGCTGATAGGCTTCGATGCCCTCGTCGAAATGGTGCAGGCGTTCGGCCAACTCGCCGAGAATTTCCCATTCCGTGGCGGATTTCTTGTACTCGATCGCCTGTTGGCGGTATTGGGCCATTTCGGTGCGCCAGATGGTGTAGATGCGGAGGTCTTCGTACAGCACCATGAAGAGGTTATCGAGCCATCTTTCACACAGACGCTTGTTGCGGAATTGTGTGTAGGATGAGTGTGAGGGGTCAGGCTAGTAACACGACACGTTAGTATGTAATGGAGTGGTTTTATTGAAGGTGGGATGTAGACTTACATCTTCGCTGCCGGACTTGACGACTTCCGATGCCATCGACTGTTCTGGTTTCTCAATGGAGTGCTCTGTTTCTTCCTCCTTGGTACCGTTCGCGCCCTCCTCCTCCGACGTGCCGTTCTCCTGCTCGCTGCTTCCATTCGGTTCGTCTGAGGCGCTTGCGGAGGAGGGTGTGGTTGTAGGCTTAGACGTAGACTGCTGGCGCTCAACACGGTATTCCTCTTCCATGACAAAGACTTCGCTGCGGATTTTTAGGAGCTGATCCCAGCCTATCGCGGCAGCAATCTTGGTGAGGAGATTGTACGCCTTGAGGAAGGTTCCCTGATAGGCAGCAGCGTGGAGTCTGCGTAGTGAGGGGTGGACGTAATCGTGGGGATCACCCTGCTTGGGCTGTCCTTCGTCGATTTCGTCCAGCATGCTCTCAGCAAGAATTGGGAGCATGATGCGAGACGGTTGGGGCATACGAGGTGTGTCCTTATCCTGGTATGTGAACATGGGGCAGGAGTTCAGGGTCAGGAGGGCCAGATCCCATTGTTCGAGGCCAACGTAGACCTCTGCCAATCGTGCCCAGGTGCTGAACTCGCTTGGAGCAGCAGTCACTGCCCGCTTCGCACACTCTAGAGCCATCTCACCCTCGTTCTTGCCCTGGCAGAAATTAGCCTGGCAGTCAAGCAAGGCATAATCCATGGGAACGTCTTGTAAAGCGTCGAACATCAATCGCACGGCTTGCACCTCTTCGTCTGCCATGATGAGAACTCGGGCAAGAAGCGACGAGACCTCTACATCTCGTGTGCGAAGTTTCTCGAAAAGGTTGATACCGGAAGTGTAGCGCCCCGTTGTTTGGATGTACTTCAAAAGACCGGACGTCAGGTGGTTGCTGACGGTATTCGGCACTTGTGTTTCCGGATCAGAACTGAGTTGTCTTCCTGTATATGGTATCAGCATTTTGGTCCGTTGGGAGTCAACTGTGGAAGCGCACCCAAGAAGAAGAGTCTCTCCGCAGCATCCAGGAATTTGTGCTCCATCTCCGTATTTGTGACCGGGTTGAACCGACGCACCCCGACTATTTTTCTGATCGCATCGCCACCACCATTGTCCGCGTATGAGTAGGCTCGCAGGATTCCGCAAAGAAAGGTCTCCAGCCAAAGGGCTTCCGTCGCAACTCGCTTGTCTCCGCGTTCATCGATGCAGTAGCTTTCCAGAGTGCCGGGGATTTTGACTTCGACGCGCATGTCCAGGTGGGAGAAGGCATTGTAGCAGCTGTTTGTCTATTAACATTTGCGCAACTATAAACACTTCCAGACGAAGATGTTTCTAACCAATAGATTCCCGAAACCACCTTGTGTGTCTTGTCGAGCGGAGAGAAAGTAAGCGTATTTACATAGGCGGCTAAACTGGCGGAGGAAGAGGCATCGACACCGGTGACATGGTGATAAACACCCGTCTGTATTTCGATCCCAAACCAATTGAGTTAGCCATTGTCACTCCTCATTCCCAAAGTATGCCTGCGCTCGCACTTCCGACGACGTACCTGGTGATGGGCGTTGGTCTTGGGTTGTTTAACCAGATAAACCAAGTCCGGGGGACCTAATTCCCGGAGGTTCTGTAAGGACTCGGAACGGGCATCGACAGCGGCGTAGATGTTCTCCTCCTCCTCATAGATCCTGGGGAAACACTCAGGGGTCAGTCGCAGGTCACAATGATAGTGGGCCCATTTGGCCGATTGATAGCGAGTGATAGAACACGTAAACGAGGGGAAGACATACTCGGGAACAGCTGGCGCGACCATGGCGCTGTCAGGAGCGCAGACAGAGGCTCTGGGATGGTCACAGGGGGGAAACCAAGGAGTATAGAGAGCACGAAGCGCTTTCACGACCGGGAGAAATTGAAGACAATGAGGCGCAGCAGAAAGCGCAGGTCGTTGTTCAAAGACCAAACGGAATGGCGACGATCGATGAATGCCTGGCCGCTTCCTCAGGCAACTGCTGGGTCAGGTACCCCGGTACCGCCTTTGCCTCTTTCGGTAATTCCCGCCCGCGCAACGCGTGTCTGTCACGGGCTCTTTCTCCAGTTCCATTAATCGAGTCTCCAATTCTAGACTCTCCGTTCCTTCCATTCATCTTCCCAATCTCCACTCCACGTCATTACCACCTCCTCAGGTTGGGCCTTCCCTCAGGTAGCCCAGGGTTGCTTGTCTATCCTTTTGAAATGTGGTATAGCCGGCCCGGTACTACTACCACTATCAGGGAGCTCGTTGCGCCCTGCCATTAAACCGGCATTATGTCCAGCTGGGCAGCTTTGAATATTGAACCTGATGAGGCTATTGAGGAAGAAGTCGATGACACCAAGGAGATCCAAATTGAAGAGGCGCTTAAGCTGTACCAAAATGCCTTGAAGCTCCATTCCCAGGGTCCACAGTTCTATGCGCAGGCCGAAGAGGCATATGATGCTCTGCTGGATTCTGAGATATTCAAAGATCCCGAGTCAATCTCTGATTATAAAAGAGTAGCCACTCAGGAATCTGAACCTCAGTATGATGACACGGTGGTGGCGGGTGCGACAGAAGCGCTCGCGGAGTTCGACATCAGTGACTCCACGTCGAGCACGCTGATGCAAACCATATACCTATCGTACAAGAACCACGGACAGTATATCCTGGATGCGTTACACGCATCGCTGCAGGGTATCACCGAGTCTTCTAAACTTTCTGGGGATCCCCGAAGCAAGGTCAAAGAGAAAACTAGCACAGCTTTGACGGCGTTTGCAGAAGCCCTGGAACGTGACGACTCGGATCTGAACCTCTGGAGACAGAGCGCAAGACTTTGTAGTGCTCTGCAAAGCTATAGACTAACACGATACTGCCTTGAAAGTGTACTAGCAGACGACGACAACCGCTTAGAGGTTCGGACAGAGCAGCTAGGGTTGGAAGAAACATTTGCCGAGGAGCGCCTGCGTGAAGTGCTGCGGTCGCTGCTTGATAGGTTGTCTGTGGCTCAAGTACCCTTGAAAAAGCCGAAAAAGGCCCTTCTCAAATTTCTACAGCGCCAGGCAGACCCGTATCCCTACCTTCCCCCTCTTCCGTTAGATCTGCAGGACACTGATCCGTCGACGAACCCTCTTGCCTTAAAGGCTTCTCGTCATGAGATCAAACCAGCTAGCCCTACATGGGCCGATGTTGGCAAGTCGATACTTCGAAGCCTCACTGATGAAGAAGTCGGCGCGTCAGAGATCGGACCTGGGGCTTCAGTTGGCATATCGCTGCCCACTCTCAGTCCTGAAACAAAGGCCGTAGGGTCTCAACGCCGAGTCTCAGATGCTCAGGCCGCGGATGGAAAATCCAACCAGCAGCAGGACGTCGTCATGTCGGAGGAGCATCAGCCCACTGTGAAGTCCGAAGGGCCCGATGTTGTGCCAGAGCAAGTCGATGACCATTCATCCATCGATCAGCGCGCAGAGAAACAACTCATGGAGTCGCTAGAGATTCAGTCGACTCAGCCCGGTAATCCTGGAGGTCAGCATGAAATTGTAAATGCCGATGAGGTTGATGTGAAACCCTCAAATGGCCGGAAACGATCATCTGCCTCTGCTGTTACGGAGGACCAGGCAGACCGTATACGGGCAAAAGCCAGGAGGACCCGCCTTCGTGAAGCTACTGAGGATGTCTCATTCCAGAGTGAAGAAGTTAATCTCGACTTGAATAAATACTATGAGGACCGTCTTGAGAGTTTTACCCAAGCTGACGAATGGTTGTTCGGTACTGTGGGTACTTTGCTATCCAATCTTGAAGTAACAGACCTTGGAAGCATTGACGATCTGAGAAAACAAGTTTGCTCTACCAATGAGAGCAATGATTCTGCAAATGCCGTGACTTGCGCTCCAGAGGGCACAGGACACTTACTCGTCCGTGATTTGATGGACATCATCAAGTCCTGGGATGAGGCCAAGTCCCATGCTATGCACCAGCCAGATAATCTTTCCACGCTTCAAGACATCCGGGGTATGGGAAAATCTGGTATTGCGATTTTCCTTGAGCATTCAAGAAAGTCGACCAGGAAATTAGGCATCAAACAAGTCCTCTCCGGAGAAGACGCACTCTACACGTTCCTAAGGACAGTTAATGACGCATGGCTCCCCTTGCACGATGTTGCCCTTTGCTGGCTCAAAGCGCTACTAATGCCCGACTTTGCGAGATATGCGACGGATGACATACTACAACAAGACGGGCCTGTCGTGGAGTCCGCGTATACCCTCTATCAATGGCCAGATAATCTGAAGGAAGCAGTCGTGCAACTCCTGCTGCATGAAGACGAGTACATCTATAGACATATGCGCGAACAGGTCGACAACCTTGAGAACAACGTTCTGTCCATTGGATCTGGAAGACTTGCATACAGCACACAATACTTGTCAGACTTGGAGATGCTTCAGACCCTCTTCGAGCTTCACCTCGACATCTATGCGTCTATCAACAATCCAAACAGTGAAATTGATGGTCAAACAAGGCTACTGCAGCGTGATCGCTTGGCAAGATGGTGCTTGCTCGCGCGGACATCGCTCACCCACTTCCTGGATCACAGCTCTCCTAGCTCCACACGGGAAAGAATGGTACTCCGTCATATCTGGGCATCGACGTTCCATTCAAACATGGCTGGCGATATTCAGAGGGAGCACGTCCTACTTTGCCTCCAGGAGCTGAAGTCATTCTTGGTATCACTCAAAAGCCCTGCCATAAGCCTGGTGAACAATGCGGTGATGCCCGAGCTGTCGACCGAGGCAGTTGATCAAGAGATCTCCAAGCTGAAGTCGATGGATTTCTTCATGAAAATATTTAACCCGACGTCGGATGACCCTGTTGGTCTGATCGAGACTATTGAGCCTATCCTTGAACCTTCCTCTGTCCAATTTGGCGAAGGTCTCGACGGAGAAGTATCTGAACAGCCAACTTCTCAGCTCCTTGAGATGGCATCCTTTCTAGATCGCGGAGATGCTACCTTGAGGCTTTTCCTATGGAAGAGACTACAAGATGCGTACAAGAAGATTGAATATCCCCCTAAGGTCGTTTCCTGCTACCTCCGCAGCATCGAAATCATCATGAAGGAGCTTAGCACTCCTGCACATCTCGATGAGCCCGGTGACCATCGTCAAATCACTTTGCTCAGATGGCTCAAATCACTCGACAGCATTCTAAGCAAAGCTGTCACGATTGTCTTACATGAATCGGAAAAGGCGTATGAGTGCTTTGACATGGAACATTTAAGATCATCAATGTCTGCCGTCGCTCGTCTTACAAAGCTCCTCCACAGTTTTGCCCTGTACGAAGACTTGGTTCGAGTAGGTAAACTGTCAGGACCGGAGCTCCGTGGAGCATTGGCGAAGTCTCTGGAGGGTCTCAAAGATAAGCTGCGCGAGATGCAAGTCCGTTGCTGGATCTTGCAGTATACGCTACTGAAGGACGCCATTACACAGAATCCTGAAGCTTTCGATACTCCCATGGAAGACCGCATACATTACTTACGGTCGGTACACAATGCCCTCGGAATTCGCAGGATGTGCAGGTTCTCCCATAAGCAATTTCTCAAATTGGTCAGGTCTGAGATATTCACCCTTGACGTGGAGCAGGACATCGAGCTGGATATCTGTCAAATCCTGTACGATATCTATGGTATAAAGTTGTCCCCGGTGGATGGTTCATTGAATGACCATGGATGTCCTCCCGAAAAGCTGGACCGCTCCACGGCGATCGTCATGGTGGACTTCGTCATGAAGCAGGCCAAGAAGATGAATATCAAGGACCTGTCAAAATCTGAGCTGAAATCTACTATTGACAAGATGCAGCAAGCCATCGGTACTACGAAGTCATCGCCTCCGCTATCATACAACAAGCGTATCATCACCGCCTACTTGAAGACACCGATCAATCCTTCTGAGATATCCCGTGCCATTCAGGGAGTGGCTGACCTTCCACTGATTCCTGTACCTGCAGAGAGTGCAGTTATTGCTCAAAATGGTTGGTATTTCCTTCTGGGTCATGCTGCTTTGACAAAGTTTCGCTCCCAGAAGCGTCTGAACCCCGTACCCACAACGGACCTCGACGATGCAATCGTATGGTTCAGACAAGATTTGGAACATGGGACGTCAAGATGGGAGACCTGGTACCGGCTCGCCCAGACGTATGACTCGAAGCTTGAGGAGGATATTACCTGGTCTGCTGATAAGATCAATAACAATCGGATGGAGTTGGTCACCTGGCAACGCAACGCAATTCATTGCTACGCAATGGCAATTGCAACAGCTATTAAATATTCAGAACCAACAGCTGAGACTCGTGCAATGCTCTCAGATCTGTTCACAGATTTTGGTATCCGTTTATACTCTTCTTCGCGGGCGCCCCTATCGATGGGGGCCTTCAGTCTAGCTGATTTCACGCGGCATTTCAGTGGCGAGGAAGACCAGCGGATGTATGAAGGAAGGCCTTTTAGGGAGATGAAGCTTTATACCGTCTGGAATCTTGCCAGCTACTTGCTTAAGCGTGCCCTTGTCGACAAGCCCAAGAATTGGATGTATGTCACCCGTTATTCCGCCGGTGATCTGTCATAAGCTAACTGCAACTTAGGACTCATTATATGCGGAGTAAATGCCTCTGGAAGATGTTCAGCTGTGATGAATCTGTTAGAGGTTCTTTTAAACGGATTGAAGTCGACGTGGTCTTGGATTCCCTGCTCGATGCCATCGATGCTCTGCCGCAGCGGAAGGATTCACGCTCTGATCCTATATTTGAGCCACATTATA